CAGATTACTTCGTGTGAACACATTTCCTCGGGGGTGATCTCTTTTGAATTCTCCCGAGGGCTCTGGCCCTGCATTTGTGTCACAGCAGTGAGAGGCTAATCCATATTAGTTGTCCAAACGCTCCATACTGTGCATACGTACCACTAAACTTTTTTTTCAGGAAAATAAGAAGAAAAGGAGAATAGATTACAACCGCGCTCCCATTTGCAACAACACTACACCCTTCGGTTGCACCCACGTGCGGTACGGCGTGGCGTGCATACTCCTGCGTTTACGCCTCGTCCTCGCCCAAGCGCCACACACTATCCATCCCCAAGAATACGAACACAATCACGCGTCGCGCACGCCCCTGCATCACTTTTGCGCACCGTCAAAAAAACTTTTGCGCTCCTGGGTGAGAGGGTGCTAGCACACGCAAAGAACTGGGAAAGAAGATGAAAGGAGGGAGATAAGAGTGGAAGCCGCGGGAAATAAAACAGAGAAAGGGATACCGCGAGCGCCGAAGGCGAGAGGGAGATTGTATGCATGTCAATGGGAAACTGAATAAAATTCGGTGGGCGGTGGAATGAAGGAAGCAGAGGGAATCGGAATCGAAGAATAAGGGGGTGGAATGACAAGCGAGGGATGGACGAGGGATGAGTGAATAGGAAGCGCGAGGGGGAATAGGAGTAGATGGGATAAGCAGATGGGAACCGGTGGTCCAATAAAGGAAAATGAAGGGGAAGGGATAGAGAGACGGGTCTGGCGCAAAAATAAGAAGAATAATGGAGAGTACATGCACCACCGATGCGTGGCTATCTCAAACAACCACAAGGAAGGCAAGGCCAGGAGCAGGAGGAAGCGGAGATCCGACCGCGGTAGGTAGGTAGGTAGGTAGCATTACAGAGATGTAAAAGAGTGGTGCGAAGCGCACAAATATAAAGTACGAATAGAGAAGCAAAAGGAAAGTAAAGAATGGAAGGATGCACAGACAAACCTGCGTCAAGTAGACCCCCGATTTTGAGGACGTTCTACGTCTCGCCTGAAAAAAAAAACTACAGGAGCAAAAATTCGAAAAAGAGGAAGAGAGAAGAAGGACGGAAGGAAAGACACGGTCACACAAGTGGAGGGATGATATAGTAAAGGGAATGAAGCCCCGCCCCTGCGCGCGAGCATCACCCGGCGTCCATCGAGCCTGAGCCCAGTGCCCACACACCATACGCATCTCAGAGAAGCAAATCCGACCCAAGCGACCAAACGACACGCGGCGCAGCGCTCAAAACGTCAGGCGAGGGTACGCGCACGCGCAGGGAGATCGTGTCTCCACCACGGTGCTCACAAAGTAGATCGCGGCGCAAGCTGCAGCGCCGAGGTGGGGTGTAGGCGCCGTCCCGAATCTTGCCAATTCCAGTTGCACGCGATGGGGTGACGCGGGGCGGCGTGCATGCCTCGCGATCGAGCTGAAAAAGAAAGAAAATTCGGCAAAGTGCTTCCCCACGCGTCCACGGGATGCGCTGAGATCGGGATAAAATGAACGGACGCACGGAGGTGGATGAACGCGTACACGCCGACTCGTCGACGAACGTCCACATGCCCGCCACACGAGAAATGAGAGACCACACGCAATGAAAGAGCGGCAGCCGGACACGGATGCGGGAATAAAATCACAAGAGGCCGGCGCATCCCCCAAGCGGAGAAAACTGCATTAGCGTTGCCCACTCGCAAGGACTTCGGCAACCTCCACGCGCAGAATTCGCGGAGCGCGAGCCCACGGCGAAGGAAGGCGGACACCCGCTCCCTGGCTGCAAATACACGGCGCGGACTCGACGCAAAAGCCCTCGCGGCCGCGCACTAATTGGGTGCCGCAAAGGAGGCGCAAGCCCGCGCGCGAAGATTCGCGGTGGCGATGGCCGCAGACTGCGTCGAGTAGATGCGAATGCGCGCAGACGGCACAGACGACGAAGGTACGGTGATCCCGCAGGAGATCCCCCCGCGCCGTTGTTCCGACGCAATTCTGGCGCGGACGGGGAATGCACGGGGAATGCATGCCCTCCAGAACGCATGCGGGAAGGCCGTGGACTGCGGGGCAGAAGCATCTGTCGTGCGACGCAGCGGCGAAGGCGCGCCAATTCGAGCGTCCAAAGCACCACTTACACGCAGAGTTTCGGATGGGGACGGGGACGGGGCCGCGGGTGAGTAGTGTGGGAACGCCTTCGGGACGTCGCTGCGCACGGGGGAGCATGCACGGACGACGCGGGAGTGCAAATCCGGTGCGAGCGATTCGGGCGCCAATAAATGCGCCGGAGCACACGACAAGGGCTCCTACAGGATGGTCACCCGTACGTGAAGGCGTCCGGGACAGGTGTCGAGAGCCAGAATAAAAGGCGGGAGATCGGCCGCGTCGATACGAAATAACTGCGGCGTGTGCACCACGATAAAAAGTCTGATATAATCTGCACCACCACCCAAACCATAATTATAAGACATCTGAGAGAACGAAAATGTGCACGTATCACTCAACAAATCGATCCAAGGGTGACACCCATCTTCTCGCCTGCATCCTCGGTCTGCTTCATCATCCGTAGCGTTTCGTCGAGCAGGGTATTGCGGGTCGGGTCGGGGAGCCGTTTCTGTGCGCGCGTGTCAGCGCACGTCGGCCAAGTAAACACGAAGCAGCAAAATAAAGTAAAGTAGCGGTAAAATGATAGCGAAGAAATTGAAGCAAGTGCAAGTGAAGAAACGTTAACGCGCACTCACCCTCTCCACATCCATCAGCACCCCAATCCTTCTCCTCAACATCTCCTGACCAAAGAGCGAGGGTTGTCACGTTAATTCCGGGAGAAGAGCTATTTGAAGGAGGGAGGACAGGGCGGCATCGTCGTTTGGTTGAGGCGGGTGCGGATGCGGTGTGGCGCGGAGAGTCCGAGTCGTAGGTTCGTTGACGGTGATTATTGCCGGGCCGGAATCAGAATTATTGGAACGTTGCCGTCGTTGGGTTGAGGTGGAGAAGAGAAGAACGCGGTGTGAGGCTGTGTAGGACAGCCACCCATCAATGCAGCTTGCATTTGACCGCCATCATCAAGAGCGAGAAAATATTTGCCTAGAGTCAACGCGCGAAAAAGCTATTCTCTGGAGAGCACTAGTGAACCTCCGTGGTCATCGATCATCCTTGGACGGCATGGCGTTGTCTTGACTCAAAAGCTCACGGGTTCGCTGCAGCGTTGTCGACCATCATCAAGACTGAGGAGTACATTCAGCTGGGGATATATGGGTTCAGGACTCGGTGTCTCCGGTTGGCTAGGGCTCATTATCAATCTCTGGCTGCTTTCAAGGCTTTTGTCCCAAGTCCGAACCTCGACGAAGACGCCAGAATATTAATGTTCGCACTCACCACTTCTCAGACAACCACGAACGCAAGCAAGGCATTATCCCGTTGAAGCGTGTTCTTATAGAAATGTTCCGTTATATCAAGCTGCCCGCTTCGCCGCGTGGCTTTGATGATGCTCTCTGGAATACCAAGCGTAGTAACGCAAGTCTCTTGCAACTTCTTTATATACTCGAGCGATGACCGATGACGAAGGTCGAAGGCTTCGACATCTTCAAAGTTGGGCGCTGCAGGAACCGCAGTCATTTTTAACCGGGCGCAGGTTTCGAGATACAACCTGTCTTGCTGCGCAACAATTATGAATGAATGAACACGCCACAGATGAAGAAATTAGGAATAATCAATCGTTGAGTCGGTGAGAAATCCGAGGGAGGTTTTATTTACGCCACTGAACTGAACAGATAACTGTATGTACCTACTTTTTTATTCTGCTCAACCAATTTCCGGCTGGTCAAAGTTCTCGCAGTCACCGCGCATTTTGAGCCGTGACGACGAGAGAATTCGTGGGTCGCGCTGTTTAAACATCACAGTAAATGATACAGTACTGGCTGAGTGAAATGCAATCGAACAGCAAATGTCTGATTGGTGAATATTTTCTTCCTGTCCGTTACACTGACCTCTTGGGTCTGGTGCGGCAAAAAAAGGAGATCGGCATGAGAGAGACAAGGCTGGTTCACGGTCTGTGATACTGGGGGTGCATCTTGATTCCTTGGGCTCAAACCTTTTTTCTTGTCTTTTTCAAAAAAGAACACTCAGTAGCCGCATGGCCAAGGCTCGAATCGAACAAGCGTCTCCTGCAGAATAAGACTGAAGACAAATAGCCAATCCTCGCAGGCGCGGACCCTCCGCCTCGGGGCCTTGCACCCCTTCAAAATAAACTCAACAGGCAAGTAAGAATCCTGCAGCTGCTCCTCCAAGAGAGAATGCACTAGTCAATTATTCAATTATTCAATTATTCATACTCCAGGCATAAATCGGGGGCGCCTCTCCTCAACCGGTGAGCCAAAAAATATTGAATGGTAAGTTTGCTGCAGTGAGAACCATCCGCAACCGAAAAAAAAAAAAACGTGGGAAGCAGCACACATGGCTCAGGCTTGAATTAAACAAGCAACCCCTGCAGAATAATTGGTCGAGACCGGGATTCGGTGCTGGTGCGGACCATCCGCAACCGGGCCTTCATTCTCTCCCTGATGACTTCAATAGGTGGGCATTAGATCGTACATTTGCTCGGTTTGGGCAAAGAAAAAAAAAACAATGTTGTCGAGGCCATGGCCCAGGCTTGAATTGAACAAGCAACCCTGCAGAATATTTACCCCGCCAAACATATAACTTGGTGCAGGTGTGGACCATCCGCAACCGGGCCTTCCTCGTCTGCCTCTTATCCTCAATAGGTGAGCATTATCTCATACATTTTGCTCGGTTTGGGGCAAAAGAATGTGTGGTACCAACCCATGGCCCAGGCTTAAATCGAACAAGCAACCCTGCAGAATAATCGAATAAGCACACAACGTCAATTCAGTGCAAGTGTGGACCATCCGCACCCAGGGCTTCCTCCTCTGCCTGTTAGCCTCAATAAGGGGCCATCAAACCATAGCTTTGCTCGGTTTGGGGTAAAAAGATCTCCTGGTACGAGCCATGGCCCAGGCTTGAATCGAACAAGCACCCCTGCAGAATAATCGAATCATCAGCGATTTCGGTAATTCAGTGCGAGTGCGGACCATCCGCGACTGGGCCTTCCATACTCCCTTGCTGTCCCCAATAAGTAGGTGGGCATTTTTATTGTTGTAGAGGCAAAATTCTCCACTGAATTGTTGTAACCGAGCCTTCACTCTCTCCCTGATAACCTCAATAGGTGAGCATTAAATCATAGGTTTCGGTCCGAAAAAAAAGTCATGGAAGCAGCACTCATGGCCCGGGCTTGAATCGAACGGGCAACGCTGCAGAATAACCGAATATTGGCTGCTGCGACATTCAGTCCCACATTCCCCGAAAAGTAATGAGCCAGCTTGACCAGAGATACCTTGCACAATCAATAGGTCGAACCTCTAAGTGATAGATTTCAGGTGCCATTAAGCAAATAAAGGACTACGGACATGTGAGTGAGAAACAACAAACGTGCTCTACAGAAAATATTGTAAACACACTGGAGGTTGCTGATCCCCGGGCGGAGCAGCACTTGGCACTCTCCAGCAGAATACAGAATAAGGGGCGGCAATCTGGTGCAACCAGTGCGAAGGAAACAACTTATCTGATTGCACCCATCCTCAGAAGTTGAACCGACCTACCGTGATTGAATCTGTGTTTATAAACAACTCAAGAATGAAAAGCAAACTGTTCATTACTTGCTTGAGGAAAGAATTGAAAAAGATAGGACTTCAACTATCTATTAGTCTCGGGCTGACTCCGATTTTACTCACACCAAAATGTGTTCAGTGTTCAGTACTTACATGCACAGAGTATTCAGTATGAATGTGAAATTCCGAGTATGGTTAAGATCACTTCACCAAATTTCGACGTAACTCGCTAGGCAAAATTTGCACGCAGGCAGGAAATGGCACTTGCCGGAGCACCAACATAAAATTCACCTTGTACGGCCTTGAATCAGTACACTGTCAATTCATAAGGTGCGTACCATGAGCTCAGTCATCTGTGTGTGTCAAAAAAGGGTCAGTAACGCCTTCGCAAATGATTCAGGCAAACATCGGGATTCGGGATTGGCCGAATCAGATGAGTATGCCGGGAGTAAAAGTGCGGGATAGACCAAACCAGGACCATCCACACATTCGCAAACCAGACACATTCGATGCAAATCTGACACATGGCATTGAATGTGTCTGCTTTGATGGGATTGATTTGGCGGCCGTCATTCGGCGGAATCTGCGCCGAATATTGCCGGTTAGGGGTTGGTTCGGGTTAGCGGTTCAGGTTAGAGGTTAGGGTGGTTCGGGTTTTGGTTAGAGGTTAGGGTTAGAGGTTTTGGTTAGGGTTTTGGTTAGTGGTTAGGGTTTTGTTAGTGTCAGGGTCAGGGAATATTGTATATGTGTTGGCGAAAGGACTTGTGCGTAAATTTCGGAGATTGATGGCCAATCAATTCGGTCAACGCCAGCACAACGCAAATCAGACACATTCACCAATGTGTCTGGTTTGCGAATGTGTGTATGGTCCTGGTTTGGTATATACCCGTAAAAGTGGGGATAATAAGATTTAAATGATGTATTAGGACTACTAAATCATGTATCAACTCTTCCTCAGGCTCAACGGTGCCTGTGGAACTAGCCAGAGGCCGCGCGGCACTGGCACGTCAATAACACAGCCACCGCCGCGGCAAATCGCGGCAGGCGCGGCATTTCCTCCCCAATGTTCCTCCCAGCCCGAAATTAATGCCCTCGCTTTTAGTACCTTTTTGGCGTAATTAGTACCTGGGTACTCATATGTAGTACCTTCACTATCCACAGTATGATAGAACAGGTCCCGGTACAAGGGTAGTTCAAGTTCCCTTGCCCACCCAAAAATCCGATACATGAGTGTGTACTTCTTTGTATGTGTCGGCAGTGTGGTTCATTCAATGGGAGTAGAAAGGGCAGGGTCACCAAGTAAAGGAAAGGTACTGTAACAAGAAGCCGAACACCGACGGAAGCAAAATGAATAGTTCCGATAGGAAGCTATCTCGAGGATGTAATGGTTGAGGGGGCAATATCAGCACCCGGGATTCATCAATCAGCAGTAAAGTTGGACTCACGGGATTCTACAAAACCTGCGGGAGCAGAGGACAACCCTCACCTGTTATTGAGTGAAGTCAGTGAGAGCAGAGATAGTATTTGATGTCTAGGGAGAGGTGGAACTATTTGACTGCTGTATGAAAGTGGCAAACCAACGATGGTGTAAAAATAACATACAGAAGGGAGAAGAACAGAAACATGTAGACGGGAGAAGAATAGAAACATTTAGACGGGAGAAGAACAGATGAATAGCAGCCAATGCGATCAGAACTTCCCACAGCTCCTTCAAGTATAACTGTATAAATCCCGGCTGATTCTTAGATGCTCGGATGTCCCTCTACCAACATGCCTCGTCAGGCAACTATAACTGAAATTCGTTTGAAGGATATCTCAACCTGTGTTGCCATTGCGGCCAATACACTCGATGTCCTTGTAAACACTCTCAATATTTCCGCCCTCAAAGCTATTTCGAATACCACACAGTCTCTTTTGAAAATGATGGAGGTGTGCTCCACACTGAATCAGTTATCTAAGCAGCTCTGAATATTAGTGCTGTAGACCATCAAACAGGATAAGAGTGATTGTGCTGAGTTGATGGAGCACATTCACCAGTTACTCAATGCCATTATTGGTGTATATATCAAGTCGGACACTGGTGCTGAATTGTCGCCAAGTGTTTTGAATCAGATGGCAAAATTTACGGAGTACTTCTTCAACCCTTGCACCCACTTGAATCTCTGACTCAATGTCTTCAGGACCCTCCACAAGATTTATGCCTTCGTTGAAGCTCAACAAAGTGGGAGCAAAGTCAAAAAATTCTTCCGGCAAGCGGAATTGCATACCTTACTTAAGGATTGCAAGGCAGGGTTGCAACAAGGACTTGATTTCTTCCAGGCATGTAACTTGATTCTGAACAAATATCAACTAACAGCAGTGCAAAGATTGGGACAACTACAGATGTTCTGGTTAATGTCAAGGAAATGCAAGATCAGGCGCAAGTCAAGTACCAGGAGGTACTCAACTTGGTTGAAACAATGTCCAGTTCAGATTCAACTTCCTCTGTATGTGAGCACATGCTTTCAGAAAGCCGGTGTTGACATTCCTCTAGATTAGCAAGATGTATTCTGGCTCATACACGAGGTGATATCAACAGCTCATATATCTTGCACATACTCACAAAGACCTCAGCTCTAACTCTATCTCAATGCTGCCAGCAGAGCCCAACATATTCCATGGTCGAGACTTGGAGCTCACAGAAATTCTCAACCTTTTTAACCAAGACAATCCAAGAGTAGCCATTCTAGGTGCAGGTGGAATGGGAAAAACCAGTCTTGCAAGAACAGCTTTACATCACGAGCAGATTACCACCAAATATCAGCAGAATCGGTTCTTCATCACATGTGACACTGTGTCAGATAATGTGGAGCTTGCAGGTCTCATCGGAGCTCATCTTGAATTGAAACCTGGGAAAGATTTGACCCAGTCAGTTCTCAACCACTTTATGCATGCTCCTCCCAGCTTGTTAATCCTCGACAATCTGGAGACACCATGGGAGCCGATCAAATCCCGCAAAGAGATGGAAGAGTTTCTCTCTCTGCTTGCCGATATCCCCAGTCTAGCTCTGCTGGTGTGTATATTTGTTTCTTGGTGAGAAACCTCACTCATGAAAAGACAGGTCACCATGCGAGGAGCAGAGCGGCCAGCAAAGGTTCAATGGACCCGACCATTCTTATTGCCCCTGGGTCCCTTGCCACAAGAGGCTGCTCGAAAGATGTTCATTGACATTGCAGATGACAAGCACTCAATGGAGGAAGTAGATCAGGTTCTTGATCTTACAGACAACATGCCACTTGCAATTGGCCTTCTAGCTCATCTGGTGGACATGGAGGACTGCAGCACAATATTATCACGCTGGGAGACAGAGAAGACCTCTCTCATCTCAGAGGGCCATGACAGGAGGTCCAACCTGGAGCTATCCATTTCACTCTCGCTCTCAAGCCCTAGAATCACCTCTATGCCATTCTCCCAGGATCTGTTGGCCCTACTCTCTATGCTGCCAGATGGCCTGTCAGATGTGGAACTTAGGCAGAGCAAATTTCCCATCAAGGATGTTTTCGGTTGCAAGACTGCACTGCTTCGTACTGCTTTGGCGTACACTGATGGCAATACACGCCTGAAGGTCCTGGTACCTGTCAGAGAATACATGGGAAAGTATTCTCCCCCAACAGATCTAATGATAAGGCCACTCCTCGCACACTTTCATGAGCTTCTGGAGTCATATGTGACAGCCTGGGGCAAGGAATCTGGAGCTTTTCCTATTGCCAGAATAACATCCAATTATACAAATATCCAGAACATTCTCCGGTGTGGTCTCCAGCTGGAGCATCCTGACATTGCAAAGAGCATCTACTGCACCTGTGATTTCAATTCATTCACCAGGCGTTTTGGACATGCAACTGTTCTTATGGAAGACATCAGTCACCTTCTTCCATTCTTACATGACCAACGGTTGAAGACTCATTTTATTGTTGAACTATTCATTTCATTTGGATTTCATTCAATATCTCATCCAGAGATGTTGATTGCCCAAGCCTTGGACTACTTGAAATGCTTGAGTGATCCTGAACTTGAATGTAGGTTTTCTCTTAGTCTTCATACACTGGACACTGACATCTCCTAGCCAGGTTTCATGGCTCTCTAGCATGGTACTACATTCAACACACCCATGACATACCCAAAGCCATTGAACACTGTCAGGTTGCTCTCCACTTGGCACAAACAAATGGAACCTACAAACAACAATGTCGCACACTTAGTGTCCTTTCACGCATCAAATGGCTGGGTGGTAATTACACTGCTGCCCTAGCACATGCACAGGAAGCGCAGTGGCTGGCCAAGCTTGCTGGAGACTTATTTCAAGAGGCAATTGCACTGTATTATGAGGAGGCATGTCAGATGGTCTTGGGGGATTATGAAACTTCCATCCTCCTGTGCACAAGGGCCAAAACACTTCTG